AACATTTCATTTCATTAGTTAAATTAGATACAAAACAGTAGGATATAAAACTCTATTTCATTTCATTAGTTCAATAAGATACAGAACAGTAGGATATAAAACAACATTTCATTTCATTAGTTAAATTAGATACAAAACAGTAGGATATAAAACTCTATTTCATTTCATTAGTTCAATAAGATACAGAACAGTAGGATATAAAACTCCATTTCATTTCATTAGTCCAATAAGGTACAGGACAGTAGGATATAAAACTCTATTTCATTTCATTAGTCCAATAAGATACAGAACAGTAGGATATAAAACTCCATTTCATTTCATTAGTCCAATAAGGTACAGGACAGTAGGATATAAAACAACATTTTATTTCATTAGTTCAATAAGCTACAGAACAGTAGGATATAAAACTCCATTTCATTTCATTAGTCCAATAAGATACAGAACAGTAGGATATAAAACAACATTTCATTTCATTAATCCAATTAGATACAGAACAGTAGGATATAAAACTCCATTTCATTTCATTAGTCCAATAAGATACAGAACAGTAGGATATAAAACTCCATTTCATTTCATTAGCCCAGTAAGCTACAGAACAGTGGGATATGAAACTCTATGTTATTTCAGACTATCTTATCAGGAGAGGTGTATAATTGTATTAATATGGTGTTTGATTTACGGAATGTAACAGTCGAGTTGCTGCAATCACATCACCTCAGTGTGGAATCACCTGAAGTTTCCCTAGCCAAACTAGATTTTATCCAATCACAACTGACCTACACCAGTTCTTCCAACCAATCAAAAGATATCAGTTTATGGTCACATGCTATAGTCGTCTCAGACACCAGATATAAAAGTAAGCACTATACAACAAATCTTAAACCCCTAATACGTATCCTTGCCTGTGCAAGGCTTTTTGAATATCTAATTGAAAGGGTTAACCACTTTCAAACTGTGAAAACGTCAATACTTTATGCTGGGCTGGAACAGTGGAATAGCTCAGTTGCAAGTTGGATTGTCATCTG